GCCTAAAAACCTTATTTATCATGCTTTAAACCCTGTTTTGAGTTGTTTAATGATCATGGATCCTAATGGAGTGATTTTATACATTATTTTCATTAGGAAGGAAGGTAGATCATGTTAGAGAAGATTTGGATAACTTAGGCTTAAGAAAACCTTGAATATTAAGTATAGTTAGGTAAATACAATAAGTATAGTTAAGGCGAGGGTCATACTTATACTATGGTACATGTAATATAGGTATGAAGACGACAATGGAGTAACATTTGTAAGGCAACATTCAGTATATCAAAGTGAATACGTGTATACGTCCTGTGTGGTTGTGTATTACAATCATTTGCATGTAATGTGTTTCGTTGATCCAATTGTAGGGTATGTGATTATTCCAGCGACTTATTGAAGGATTTGTGATTTTCTCGATAACTTAATTCAAGGATATGTAATGTATCCTGACGATCCCCGATAGAGGAATAAGTGATTATTATGATATTTCTAGAGAATGGGTTTTAAATAGTTCATGGGAGGATATAAATCTTAATTTTCCAATATGATCATATGAATATGGTTTTATACCATGATCTAGTTATAGGGCGTGTTGAGTTGTCCTGGTAACTGTAACACCCTTCTAAACCCCGCGGAATATATATAAATAATTAGAATAATTGTCATGCATCTCACAAAAGGGTGTCACATATAAATTCAAAACATCACACAAACACCTGTCATGCTCAATAACACTTAAATAACTTCATGTTTTTCATACACTTTCACATTAGCATGTAGCAGATTCACTTTAATCATAATAAACATAATGAAAGTCTCATGTTCATCTCATTCATAATCAATACTTAGGCTTAAAAGTCAATGCTTCATATCATTCAAAATAACAATAACAGAATGAAGTATAGTACATAAAGTATCTCTTAAAACATGAAATCGAAACATTCCCCAGTGTTACATTATCAGAGCATGACTCGACCCAAAATAAAAAAATACAAAACAAGCTACTCCAACGGCTACCTCGCGCTAGAAGCAACTCTACTCCTCGATACCCGAGCGATGTCGTATAAAACACCATTCCAACATAAGGGTGAGAATTCACATGATTATTGGCATTATAAGATAATATATAATTTAGGGCATGCAATCATAATCATAATTGTTCTCACACTTCAAAAGTTTCATCAACAAAGTATCACTCAAGTAACCATACTATTCACAAGTATATACACACAAACCACAATTTCACCAATTCAACAATTCACATAAATACACATAATTTCATATCACCAACATATACAAAATGAGACCCAATGCAAAACTCAATGCAAGACTCAATACAACTCATGTCATATGGTACCAACACTTGTTATTATTTTTCAGTTTTTACATTTAAACCGGGTCCGTTTCCTAGACCAATAACACATAAAAAACTCATTCCCTAAGCTTTCAAACCCCTCTCTAAGATTGGGACAAGTCACTAGCTCCCACAGAACTAACAAACATTGCCTCTTGACACAAATGATGCACGTGCAAGTTCACAACCATATGCAATTAAGATCATTCCCTAATCTTAACATTTATGCATATCTTCAATAATTTATTACACTTGAATTATCACGCAATCACACATACTTGCACATTTTTATCAATCATTCACACGCAATTCATTTTCAATGGTATACAACACATTTTACAATACAATCACAATGGTATTATCATTACAACAAGCAATAACTATCATGAATTTCATGTTGTCACACACCAAAATATACTTATACAAGCACACACACAAGTATTCGATAAGTTATCCACAAATAATTTCACAACCGGCAGCAACATTGCAACAATTTAATAATAGAACATATACACAATTGACTTCCCAAACATATTAGATATAAAAATATTTGGCAACCAATTATATTATCTATACTATGTTATAGATCTATTCATTAGCTTTCCAACGGAGACCAAAACCGACTTACGGATCAAAAGTTATGGCCAAAATTGTCAGAACAAAATTTTTACCAATAGCGACGGATCGGTTGACGCATGGAAGGCCGAAACAAAATCCAGAAAAACGCATTCAGTATGCGTCGACCGTTGTGACATATGCGTCGACGCAAACAACGTAAAATGCACAATTTTCTGCGTTTTCCACCGTTGGATTCCTTCCGGACCTCCGATTTCAATTCCGTAAAAAGCCCCAGTTCCAAAATTCGAAATACTACCATTATATTACAATTATAACAGCCTACAACATATATTTAAGGATCCTATCATCATATATCATTTAATCATAAATTTCAAAACCATGGAAATTAGGAATTTTTATCCTAAATATGATGCTACCCATCATACACTATCATATAATCCCATTAATCATATAAATACCCACCCTTACCTTGATTTTCTTGAATTTCTTTAGCTCTTTTGGTTCTTCTCTTCTTCTCAACTCCCCTTTCCCTTTTGCCTCTTTCTTCCTCTTTACTAACTTTCTATTCTAACTCTTTCTCTTTTTCTTAAACTCTCACAATTTCTCAAAACCTAATAATTTCTAATGGGCTTACTAACCCACTTCTATTCACACCTCCAATTAGGCCCAATTAATTAATCTAACAATTCTATATTATTCTACCAAATAGAATATATCAAATAAATTAAATCAATTATTTCAAATATGTCCAATAAATCAATTAATTCAAACAACTCAGATAAATCAAATAATTTATATAAATTTAATAAATCAATTAATTTAATTAATTCAATAAATCAAATAATTCATTTAAATCAAATAAATTAGTTAATTCAATTAGGCACAAAGTCACACAATTAATCAATTAATTTAATTTAATTAATAATTACTAAAAAATGGGGTGTTACAGTAACCATCACAAGACATGGTACTTATCTTAGTGATTAAGTTAGTCATTTTGAGTTGTCCCGGTCGAGCCAGTATAAGAATATGAATCTTATTCCGATACTCCAATTGGTTGATATGATGTTATCGTGTAATCAAGTCATATTCATGAGTATTGGATTGTCGATCTTAGAATGTGTGTTGAGAAATTAACCTTGAATGATTTCTAATTATCCATCTCATAACATATAATTCTAATTATACGTTTGGGCATCGAGATTGAAGTATCATGAGTTATAGTTGGATGGTCAATGATTTGTACTCCACACTTGATAGTCGAGTACTACCTGTATGGTCCATGACCTGCAAGCTATATGAGATATTTGGACTCCCAGTTCTATACTCTGATGTAGGGGACTATGCATTGGTTTAGATCCTATGAGTGGTAGTAGTATACACGATCCAAACGTTATGCTCATGGTAGGTATCTTGGAGATTCGTGACCCAGGTGAGTTATCTAGAAGATATATGGTTGGTGACGTCTTTTTAGATTATATAGAGGATTAATGATTATTTTGTAAAACATGGTTGGATTATGTGAGTCACCCTAATGGATTATATAACTTATACCTTGAACCTAGTAGAAGGGTAATGAGTGATTCAATGATTTAGATCAAGAATTCAGTGAGATTAATATCTTATTCCACGTTGTTATATTATTTTTCAGATAAGTAAACAATTGGATTGAATTTGCAGCTTTGGATTTGGCATTAAAAACCTAAAGAAGCATATTTCAGTTGTTTGTAGTGATCACCATCATCATCAGAGGATGATTGCAGTGATCACCAAACCCTAATTCATCTTCATGCATATTTCACTAGTAAACCAAGTTATCCAAGTTGACTTTCAAGTTGTCATCATCAAAATCACATCACCAAAGGCAAATCCTAATTGTCATCTTTTGGATTTGACTACTCCTACAAATAATCTGCAAAACACGGTCCCACAAAATTTACATTTGAGGTAAATGGTTCTGATATAGCGGAATTTAATTTTGTAATATCGCTTGTGAGATTTTGGTGTTTGGTTCTAAGCTAAACCATCGTTAAAAGCTCTTGTTTTGTTTGTGAGGATGAGTAGGCTAAATGGTTAGACCAAACCTCTATGAATTTCTGGTGCATCTTTCTCTAGCATTGTCTCTTTATATTTCAGTCATTTATTTACTTCCCCTATATTTCTTTCTTTCTACTATGATTTTCTTTATTTCGCTGCTTATTCCTTGTTTGTTTACAAACTTGTTTTAAACTATGATTTTATCAAAAAAAAATATTAAAATATTCTTTTTCTAACCCACACAATTCACCATTTCTTATATTTAGAGTCACTTGTCCAATATATTATACGGATATGAATATGACTCAATTCAAACCGGAATAAAAATCATAATCAATACTTCTTCAAGTCAAACCGGAGTAAAAATCATAATCAATACTTCTTCTAATGACATTTGTAAGAAGAATAAAAAACGAGTATTTAAGAAATTCAGTTAAGTAACATTAATTATCTTAATTTGATGTAAAAATGAATAGATTTTTTCCAATTTATTTTTTTAATTTAGTAGAAAATTTAAATAATTTTTTTTGCTGGAATTAATTCATCCAACTTCTATGCCAATTTAAACAATTTCTTTTGCTGGAATTTATGAAGAAAAAAAATTGACGTTTATTTCTTTAAAAAAATCACTTTACTTTGTTATTGAAGTAAAAAACTATATCTCTTTCATTTTCATTCATCATTCAATCATACAAGGTGATACCAAAGCAAATGTCACTGATAAAAAAAAATTGCTCTATGTAGTGACGTTTTCATATAAAGTAATGAAGTTATGCTCTCAGAGTTGTGATGAAGGCAAAACCACTGTCCTCGCTATTTGCAACTGATGTAGTTTATTACAAGTCTCAACTATGAGAGCTATTATCAAACAGTTTAGGGATTTTTTAGAAAATATGTGAAACTGAATCAAAACCTTAAACCTGAAGATATGAGTTTTGGGGTAGAACAATATCCTTGTTTGACTAACAACTTAAGCTGTTATGTCCATAAGTGATGATAATCCTTGAGATAAATGGTAGTCACTCTAACAGTTTCATGCATTTAAGCCAGCCCAATTCTTGAAAGCAATAAGCGCTTCCATTTTTCTGAAATTCTTTTTTCTTAACCTGGCCACTTTGAGCTTTTTATGTTTCTCCATGAATGCTTGTTTGTATCTCCACTTATCAACAAATATTTTCATCTCTTTAGATTTCTCAACAACTTGCATCACCGCATCAAAGAAACCTCCCTTGACCATAGCATACAGGAATGCATCAACCAGATTCTGGTCAAACTTGATCCCCTTCGGTCCATTGGCTGATAATTTGCGTTTAACCTCATTCCACAGCATCATTACGTCAAAATATTTCTCTGCCGAAACATATCCGTTAATCATGGACAAGTAAGTCTGATCATTTGGCTCAAATTTCAGGAATATCATCCTTCTGAAAGTTCTCCTTGCATCTTCTAGTCTCCCAGCTTTACAAAAAGCATGGATTATAGAATTCCAATCGTGAGTACCAACTTCAACACGTGGATCCTCGACCACTTCATCTAAGAAAGCTGCCATCAACTCAGGTCGATTATTCTCCATCAAACCTGTCATTATAGTCAGGTAACTCCCTTTCAAATCAGTAATCCTCGCCTCTCTCATATCCCTAAACAGAGAAAACACCGACTGAAAGTCTTGACATGACATCGACGTTTCTATCAGAGTATCATAAGTTTCCACGTCCAACTGAAGACCTGAACTACTAATCTCCATCACCAATAGAGTGGCCTCGGCAGTTCGATTCTCTTTGCAGTAAGCCTTCAAGATCGGCACATAGACCCCAAGACCAACAGAGCCTCCCAAAGCATTCATTTCATCGAGAATACTGTGCGCTTTGTCTGATAATCCAATACTAACACATGCATTAACAATGCCAAATCCTATAGACTCATCAACTTTGATATTTGAAGATTCAAACTTCTGAGCTTGAATAATCAAATTAGCCAAACCCTTGATATTTCCAATCTGAAGATATTCCTTAACCACTAAGCAAAAAGTATCTCTATCAAAACTCCAAACATCCTCCCCATCTCTATCATTCAGACTACTGAGAAAACTGGACTCCACAGAAGCTAAATTACCAGACTTAACATAACCACTAATCAAATTAGAATAGAAGCATTTATTGTTTTTCGAGTAACCAAAACCCTTCATCAAAACTTTCAACTCATCTATCTTATCTTGTAACCCTTTCAGCGCATATAAATAAGCAAGAAATCCAAAACTAAACTCATCCGGTCTAACACCAAGATTCGACATTATTCCAACAACTCTCTCAGCATCAGTAACAGATTCAAGGCAACAACAGCAAGCTTCAAGAGCAGCATTGCAAGCAGCAACATCCGGCTTCATGAACTCCATCTTCTCCTCCAAAGCAACCCTACAATTCTCTTCAAAAACAGGCAAAAAAGCAGCAAGGTTATCATTATTCCTGGCAATGTCAATAACCACACCACCCCACGAATCAAAAGGGATAAAAAACCTATTTTTAAACATTGTTTTGACCATTGCAAAAGCCGGGGCAGCAGTGTTGGCAGATTTCATGGAAACAAGCATGGTATGGATGGTATCGAAATCGAGCAAGTTGGGGTTTTTCTCAATGAGATAGATTGTAGATGCAAAAGCCCTTTTGAGATTGTGAATGTCGCCGATAGAGGATAAGTGGGTAAGGAGGGAATTGGTCAGGGGTTTAGGTGGGAAGGAACGGTGGGTTGTAAGGGTTTTGAAGGATTTCCAAGCTTGATCGGTTTGAGAAGTAATGAGGGATTTGTGGAGAGTTGTTTGAAGAGATGAAATTTGGTGTGATGTGAGGGAGAGTGAGTGTGGTGGAGAAGTTGGGAGGTTTTGGGGTTCGTCGAAAAAGGGTTTATTGATGGAGAACAAACATGGTTGAAGGAAAGAGTAGAGAGTGGGAGGTTCGGGTGTGGAGGAGAATGATCGATATGGAAGATTGAAACTGAAAAGCTTTTTGGCCATTATTCATTCATCAATTGAATTCAAGCATCTTGCGTTTTCTGAGATTGCTGCTTTCACTCGTTGCGCTACTGCGTCTGTAACTGTGATTTTGCATTTCATTAAGAGTTCATATAAATAAAGACATCAGAGCATTGTATGCAACGAAGCTGGAATAGCTCAGTTGGTTAGAGCGTGTGGCTGTTAACCACAAGGTCGGAGGTTCAACCCCTCCTTCTAGCGATTTTCAATTTTTCCATACTTTTCTTTTACTTCTATAACCCTCGCTTCTCTCTATACATTATTCATATCTACCCACTCTTCTTGCCACCACATTGAATTTTCTGCAATGCTCTTTATAATATATTTATAGCTACTATGTAGTTTTATATTTTCTTTTTTTTGTTGTATTGTATTTCTAAAATAATAATATTAATTTTATGAGTAATGTTAACTTGTGTCCTTGGGGCACATGTTAAAAAAATCATTTATAGTAAATTTGCATTGGAAAAAATGATTTAAAAATTAATTTTATATTTTAATTAAAATTTATACACAATTTTCAAGACAATATTTCTTAATTTAGTTTTTAACATGTGCACCAAGGACACAAGTTAACGTTACCCTAATTTTATTATTAAATTCATGCTCTTTTGTAATTTTGTCATATTTATATTAAAAGATTATTTGATCAATATTTATGTTTTAACAACTTTATATGTATTTTTAAAATTTTTAATTTTGAAATATGATAAACTAAAACTAAATTATTTAATTTATTTAAATGAATAATAAATTTTGTAAAAATATAAATAATATTTTTATAAGCTTGCAAATTTTTATACGACGTATTGATAATTTTATCTCATTATTAAAATTTAAGACTTTTTTCTTGATAAGTCATGAAGTATGAACAAACTAATCTGCAATACAATACAGGACAAAAATAGATAATAAGTTGGGAAACCAAACTAAAACCCAATGCATGAGGAAAACATATATATCATCAAAAGGAAAAATGTAATAAGCTTACGAGACTTTTTAGAATCATCTCTTTATAGAATATCATATCATTAAATATGAAGGACTTGCTTCTATAATAATTTTTTCTTTGATTTAGAGATTACCTGTGCAAAAGATTTCTCTTGGGCTTATTAGCATAGAAGAATCATCAGCCTTGAACTCATCCTATAGCTAAAGACTTGATAATTATAATTAACTTTGGTTATCTGTCGCAAAATTATATTAAAAGTTTAAAACCAAGAACTAGGGTCGTTTGAGAATATATAAGGCGACCTACAATAACTTATAATACAGAATCTTATAATTTTTTAAGATTATTCTATAGTAAAAAAGATCTCTTTACATATATTTTATGATTAATTTACGATTAAAAGAATCTATTAAAAAAATTTCACAAATTTATTCCAACATTTTACACAAAAACTCTCAAAAATTAGTGGCAAACAATTGAATTTTACATTGACATTTGTCTAGAGCCTCTTATCAACTAACTATATTCTATGTGTGACTCCCTAATTTTTATCTTGTTCTTCTACCAGTATTTCATAAATGAGTAATTTAAATGATCATGCATTTGAAATAAACAAATGAACTGCTTAAATAATGTTTTCAACAACTAAACTTCTAACATGGAGTATTGTATTATATGATGCTATAGTTAAATGAGACATTGTTGTTGGTGGTTTTTTATTTATAGTTAAATGAGACATTGTTGTTGGTGGTTTTTTATTTTGAGTTGCAAGCAAGCAAATGGAGAGGTAACACTTTAGTTTAGCAGTTTCCTTATATCATTAACAACCCAAAGCAACCTCTATTATTAGAGATAGCTACCACGATAACTCAAAGCAACCTCGAATTCGATCTGGTTTCGACGATCAGTCTCTTTTTGTTTTTCGTGAGTTTTATCAAAAATTTTCATTTTTTTTTTAAAAATAAATAAAGTTTGATGACGACTTTGTTTTGTATTATATACCAAGCGTTTCTTAAGTCCGAGTATTTTTTTCGTCGCGACACTATTGAAAACAATTTCTCATAATATCAAATATCCACATGCAAATTAAACGTTGTAATTTAAACCTTATATCAAATATCCATCTGCACATTGCTTCAGATGTTGTTTCAACAATAACATATTATTATCTTAAAATTCTCTTCCGATTAATTCAGCTGTAAGAAAAGTTATAAATTCGAAAGTACGAGTAAAAGAAACCCCAATCTTTCCAAGGTTCATATTAGTGAAAAGGTTCCCTAGTATATGTAGCAAAGGCTAATACAAAAAAGGCATAATTAGCCACTGGGTCCCTTAACTTTGAACGAAGTTTTGCTTTGCCCCCTGAACTAAAAAATGTTACTTAATGATCTTTTAATTTAACTTCCGTTAAACATTTTGGTCCCTTCCGTTAGTATGTGTCAAAAAAAGGTTAGTTTATGTGAGGTGGCATGTCAAGTAAGCCGATTTAGGATTCCACATCAGCATATGTATACGTTGCGTTACATAGGGTTCCATATTTCACTATTGTTGCTTCATTGTTCTTCCACCATTCTTCAACCGTGTTCCATATTTCAACCTCTTCCATCTTCATCTTTAAATCAGGGTTAAATCCCTTTCTTCCATTTTTCTTCTACCATCTTCCATTTTCTTCTGCAATTTAGGAATTAGGGTTCAAGCAATGTCAAGGAGTGCAAACAATGCCTCAACTTCAAACAACCATATCTATGGTATATCTGGATCTTTGATTCGTAGAAACAAGAGGATCAAGTGCTTTTTCCAAGATGAAAGTGTTCTTAGAACAATGAATGATGTGAACCGTGTCAACAAGAGGAAAATTTTTTGGGGTTGTAGAAATTACAGAAACCACATTGAATTGAAAAGGGTTGTAATTTTTTCAAGTGGTTGGGTAATGAGTTTGTTGATGACAGGGATGTGAAGCTTGAAAGACAAAAGAAGAAAATTAACAAATTGAAGAATAAAGTTATGTACACTAAAGGGTGGCTCAAAATGTCCATTGTTGTTAGGATTGTACGCTTATGGTTAAACCTTGTGTTTGTAATAATATATCTCAATTAGTTTTAGGGTAGTTCAAAGTTATGTTTTTATGTTGGTAGTTCTAGGGTTGAACCTTGTGTTTGTAACAAATTGATGAGTTTGTTTAATGAATAATGTATTATTATGTTGTTTCAATGAATAATATTTCAATATCCAACCTGTAAAATATGCAGCCCAATGACCAATATTTCTGGAAATAAACTGTAATATAACTTGTTCAAACATTCATTAAAAGATTCAATAACATATTCAAAGTTTGATACATAATAGGTTCAATAATAGATTCAAAGTTTGATACATAACAGGTTCAATAACCATTCCAACATTCATTAACAGATTCAATATTTGGTATATAACAAGTTCAATAATCATTCCAACATTCATTAACATATTCAATATTTGGTACATAACAGGTTTAATAACAAAAGGCCATATAAGACATTACATAACAGGTCCAAAAACCAAAAGGTCATTATAAGGCATTACATAACAGGTTCAAAACCAAAAGGCCATTATAAGGCATTACATAACAGGTTTAATTCCAAAATATGCATTAACAAAAACAAAAGAGTCAGGACATTAATTGGCATTATAAAATCTTAGTAGACATAATATTATTAATCATGGTTGGCTTGATACAGGCTTGCCACCCTTATGAAGTTTTTTCTTAGTTATGGGTGGTGACTGACTTGTAACAATAGGTGGTGGTGGTTGACTTGTAACAGATTGCGGTGGGGGCTGACTTGTAACAACAAGTGATGTTGGTTGACTTGTAACAGATTGTGATGGTGGATGACTTGTTGCAACAGGTGGTGGTAATTCACTTGTATTAGCTTGTGATGGCTGCTGACTTGTTGCATCTTGTATCTGACTTGAATTAGCCTGTGATGGTGGCTAACTTGTTGATTCTTGTGGTTGTGGTAGTTTACAAGTGACCTTGTTGTGACCATCCTTGTGACAACGACTATACTTTATACCATGTTTTTCCCTCTTCATGTGTGTCTCATCCCTCACCATCTCTCCAGCTTCGCTATTTCTTTTTTCTTTGGCCTTCTAGGCTGCCTCTTTATTGGTGGTGGCTGAAGATCAATAACACTAGTATTTTCCCACAAGACTTCCCTATTAAGTGGATATATCACATGTGCATAGCAAGCATTCAAATTAAAAAGCTTTTTGGCCATTATTGAATTTAAGCATGTTGCATCTTCTTCGATTGTTGATTTGAGGTTCACTATATACAAACCATGTTACATTGTAATGTGGTTTTGTGTCATGTATATAAATAAAGACATCAGAGTATTTGAACCAACGAAGCTGGAATAGCTCAGTTGGTTAGAGCGTGTGGACCTTAACCACAAGGTCGGAGGTTCAACCCCTCCTTCTAGCGATTTTCTATATATATATATATATATATATATTGTATTGTATTGTATTGTATTTGTAAAATAATAATATTTATTTTATTTATTCAAATGAGTAAACCTTTATAAACTTGTAAACCTTTATACAACATATTGATAATTTTATTTCATTATTAAAATTACAGATTTTTTCCGAAAAGTCATGATGTATAGTTTCAAAGATAAAATGTTAGAAATAATGTTGTTTTCTACAATGTCTAAAGCAACCTTGTTATCAACATTTGAATCAGTATCCTCACTTTCCACAAGCTTCTAAAATCCTGCCCCTAATGGTTCAGTAAAAGTTTCAGAAGGTTTTCTTTTACGATTCTAGTTAGAAATTTGATTTTTATGCTTCAGATGATGGTTTGATTGAGGTTTAGATTCTGAGAATAATGAGGTGAATGATGCCTGTATGCTAAATTATTAATGCCTTTGCATGATTGTTATTGATCAAAGTCTTTATTTAGCATATCATTGTCATACCTTAATTTTTAACCCTAAGATTCCACTTATAATTTACATCTTTACACAGACAATATCACATTCGGTTC